TTTTAATAATGGATATGTAGGTTGAATTTTTACATCACTGTGAAGCCAATATCCATTACCATGGCAAATATTATAATTGCAAATAAATTTGTTGAGATTTATAAGTAAAAGAACATACAAAACATATAATTCATTTGGCACAAAAGCGTAACTGTTACTCCGTGTGATCATTACCAAAAGTCAAAGGTTGGTAGATAGAGGCTTCCAGGAAAAAAAGAAGAAGCATGGGTCCTACTATAAGAAAGAGAGTCAGAGGCAACATAGTTTTTGGATATTTTGCAACTTGCTGTTGGATAACAACAAGCAGGTTTTCGAGGATCGTATATAGACACTGGTCATTGGTCAAATCCCATTGCATTGATCTATATCCATATTGAATTATGAAGAAATGGTCTTCTTATGGTCCTTTGCAAACCTACCAAATTATAAACCCACGGTTAAGCTCACATTGTTTTCGAATTAACGAAGGAAATAATGCCCAAATGTCAACGTTCTATCCTACAGAACTACATAATTCCTGTCAATATGCCAATAAATTATAATGCTCTTGCTTTTTTTGGGAAGAAAAAGTCCAGTTTCACAAAATAAATGTAGAATTAGGTTGAACTCTGCCTTTAATTTTACATTGGCTTTATACTCTAGATCTCTTTAAAAACATCAAAGTAGCCCATTAAACAAATGAGCATATTGCACGCGCTAATGGTCGGAAGAATATGTGTTTATAATGACAGAAAATTATCAAAAATTAAATTTATGTATTTTGATATGTATTATTATATGTATACAAGAAATACTGCCCTATAATCATAACCATGGAACCGCGAAAACGGTAAATTTTACAAAAACCTTACTTTGATTCAGCGTCTGCACTTCAAAGCAGAAGAATCGCCTTCAAGCTTTTAGAAATTCAAAATGGCGTGTTTCTAGTGGACTATAAAAATTGTTGAAGTCTTTAATTATTTTAGGAAACAATAAATGAATTGTTTTATACATCAAAGGCGGTGAATATTTAAGAATTAATATACATATAGATATTTTACATTCAGCTTTCAAAGAGGTTTTCTTTAGAAGGACATATTTTGGATCAAACAGCTTCAAGATGACTATTAAATTTAATGGCTATAAAAATTCTATTTACAGTATACTATAGATAAAGAGATGAACTCAAATATAAATCTTGTACCGATATTGAAAGTAGAATCACAAAGACAATTTTAAGATATGAAATACTAATTTTATTTGATCCCTAAATAACTTGAATCCAAATATGCATTTCCTAAAGACAATCTTATTATTATTATTTAATTTTTTGAAAGCTTTAAACAAATCTGAATGGGAATAAATTAAATGCATCATTTTGTCTGATGCGGCATTTCGTTATTACTATTCATTTGAACACCAGCAGCAAATAACCAAAAATTATAATTGTATTATTAGTTGCATATCCTCGTTAAATGGTTGAAGTCCAATGTTAAATTCAAAGGAACATTAGCGATAAATTGATCTACCACAATGCCAAATCATTCTCACAACCGAAATCTCCCTAAAAGAGCGCCCAGGTAGATTGGAAATTCAAACTACCCCTCAGATAAGTCGCAGTTCATATATTATATCATATAAATTGACCGAACGAGTTAACTCGGTGGTCGAAATCTTGAAACCAACCTATCTGCCGGAAAGTAGAACATGAGTGATTGAAAGCAACTGCAATATTTTATTCGTCCTTGTTTAAATTTTCCTTTATGATGTCGACTGTTTTGCAACCATAATAGTAAAAAGCATCGATTATAATATATCACTATTTTTCTTATTGAAACTTGCAACAACGCCCATTTTGAAAAACAATATGGCGGCTTTAATTGAAGGTGAGAGGTCAGAAAAGAGGTATTGAAGACGACAATTTCTGAAGTAAATCAAAGTTGATAACCTATAACCACCTTACTCCTTTAATCATCTGATCAGATCGCTGCACGCGTTCCATTTCAATTTTGTTTAACACGAGGGGCAGGATATGTAATAGCCACAAGTTAACCTTTGACCTATTGTCAATACCCCAGGAGATGTAATTGATTACATTACATGAAATGATCAAGTATTGTACTATATCATGTAATTAAAGGGTTACCTGTGATATATTGATCTTTACCTTGTTTTAAACTATTTATCTGTAAGGAACAAAATAGACTTAGATTTAGCAGGTATGACGAAACATGGGGGTCGGGTTCTTTATATTGTGGAGGTTAACAAATCTCCACAGTTGGAAATCAAAATTAGTTACTGAGGACAAAATGTAGGTAGCCTGTCTTTAATTGGTGCATATTCTCGTTTCATTTTTGAAGCCATCTCCCGTCAAATTTCAGCAAGCAGAGGGCAGCATTTAATGACCTAACTGAATGGGGAGCTTAAATCAACATAGACCCTCAAGTATCATCAATGATGTCTTAAAGAGAAAAGTTAATAGCAGGTTTCGTCCAATATTTAAAATAAATCTTGCTAAATTGTTGAATATCAGATTTTAATGCCTGTTAAAAAGTATTTAACTGTCACTCAAAATTTTATGATCTATGACCTTTAAATTACAAATGATAAAGTGTCCAATAACATAATGCATCACATCATACAGCTCATAAAACACGACGAGCAGTCTATAGAATCCGAACACCTTTCTAATTCACGTACTTACTGGATATTTCCTTTTTTTTCTGTGGGTTATTTCCCTTCCACTACGATCTGTAAACATTATTAAGATCTGCAAGTTCCTAATCCGAAATTGCTCCACCAATCAAGTTATCGAATAATAAATCTTTGTGTGATGAATTGTGTGATAATTATATTACTGAGTACACTTCAACCATGTTTTAATGAGATTTAGCTACAATGACCTCATGATGAGCTATTATCTAAAGTGGGAATTTTTCAGACAAGAAATGATTAACCTAGAAAAGAAAAATCAAGAAACCACAAACTTTGTTCTAATCCTTTGCATCGAACGCTATATCCATGCCGTGAGTGGTTCATAGCTATTTTGGAATATTGTCAGCTAGATAGGTCTGCACTCGTCAAGTGACAATAAGCAGTTCCACAGTAAATCAGCCTTAACCGTTAGAGACATGTTAAAATTTGGTTTCTTTTCTTGGAATATCTTTGATGCGCGTACTGTGTTAAACGCTTTACAGTCGAGGTAATTACAACAGGCAAGGATATAGACAGATGTTCGGATTAATACTTAATATATAAAAATATAAAAAGCCAGACGAAGGCAGAAGTCTATAAATCAAAACATGTTAATCCACCTTAAAAAATACTCGTACATTTTTACGATCATTTAGTGAAGAATTTTAATCCTAAATGACTGTCCGATATAAATCATTAACAAAGATAGAATACTCATATATCCTACACCTTTTCAAAACACCAATCACTAAATATCTCTTAAACACGATCTGATACAAGGTGAAAAAGGGAAATAAGCCGAGGTGTATAAAACATTGAATAGATACAATACTGAAACCATAGATAAAGCTTAGTTAGACCATCAAATTTTATCTATATTTTATATCAAAACTCATAAATTTTAAACGCATTAATAGCATGATTCTAGTTATAAAATAAGGTGGAGATCGGAACCTAACTTTTGCTATGCTATATTATAAGTATAAGGGGGTGAAGGCCGACACCGGACAGATTCAGGAAAGCACTGACCGTGGCATCAGAAATTGTCTTAATTAGAGAAAGGTTCGAACCAAAGGCACCGCATCGCATGGCAAACGATATTCCAACTCTACGGCTGGGCTATTCTGGGTATAACATGGCTGTAACAATTGCCTAACTTTATTTGACTAGGGATAGTACTTAAGTGGCCCGTAAATTGGCCTTAAACTGGTCAAAATTTGTTAATTTGCTGAAACTCAAAAAATCTATTTTGGAGATTTATAGGCTAGGTTAAGATTATGACAAGGGAACAAAATGAAAATTTTGTAAATCTTACAAAAACACGATAGAACGAATTTACATTGTGCTCCACCCTTTAACAACTTCTTCAGCAAATTCTATACGTATCCTCTTGGCTATGATTGATTGTCAGAGAAAAGGATTCTACATTTTTTCTATGAAAAAAAATTCATAGCCATTCTTCGTAACAACTGATAATGTCATCACTGACAACTTTTGTGCTGGGATAACCCTATGAACATCATCCTTCACGTTCAATACTAGTATTTTCATAAATATTTTTCAATTGATCTTCTGACAATCGGAAACCGGCTGTCTTTCATAGAAAGTTATAAACTGTGTGTGTTCTATGAAATGAACATTGTACGTAGCATTATATAGAGCCTCCAATTGTTAGTTGTTGTTTTTTAAGGCTAAAAAACCCTCTGTATATGCCATATAAAATATTAACAATGTTGTTTTAATTTTAATTTCAATACATAGCACTCAGTTAATATTCATTACAACAAAAATATTGGGACACTGTAGAGTACAATGGAAACTCATCAGGATGCCCTTTCATACCTAAATTTCATTGTTTTGTTTTTTCTGGTAAAATACTTTATTTTTTAAACAATGGGTATCGTCACTGGCTTCTACGCTACATTTCCAAAAATATGGTTGGTTTAAGAAATCCAACAGGTAAAGGCCAGTAACTCCATTTTTTCATCAACCAATTTATTATCAATTTCAAAATTACTGAGTTTCATCACAATCTGATGAAAACTGTATTTCTAATCTAATTTTTGACTCAACCCGCTTCAATCACCTTGTCAGAATCTTATAACCAGAAAATAGTGCTCTGATTTTCATAATGGCAAGCTTTTACGGACCATTTTTTCAATAGACTCAGTTGTAAATGGACCATTGTGAAACATAATAGTCAAGAGATTGAGATCAGGATCAGATTATTGGTGTTCTCCTTGCATGGAGACTTCTATCCTATTTAATAGATCACAAGTAGAAATATAGTCTATTTATCTCTCTGATCATGACATATAAAACCAACACTATAATTCATTTAAAGGTTCAAGCCCTAATATTCTGAGTCCATGAGCCAATGTTTCACGAGCACAATTGAACAGTCCTAGCCGGGCCTGAAACAGAGAAATACTGAGTTAATGAATTAAAGGAATATTGTTTGAAAGTTTCATAGCTTGACCAGGGTATAATTTCGGCATCTTTGTTTTTTTGTTTTAATCAAAATGACCCAATATTTCCTATGATTAGCCAATTTTAAAATCTATGATGATAATTTGAGAATGAAATCAAATTTTATATTTTTTGTGACAATTTTCTGCCAAATCTAGAATGATATGACAACTGTCTATGGTCTCTATTACCTTAATAAACTGGCAAGATCTATCTGAAGGCTACAACAGGAATATTTTGAAAAGCAAATCAAAATTGAAATTCTGACTAATTTCTAATCAAATTTTTAACCCAAATTGAACCTTGAGATGGACTCTACATTTTTTAAAAATTTTGCAAAGTGAGAGTAGCGTTTCAGCGTAGGATTCAGAGGTTGCTTCTAGAGTGAATACAAACAAGACACTAAAAGACAATAATAAAAATTAGTATTACCTCCATTGTCCCTTTGTCTTGACCATTAACCTTCAGTTCAGCATAAGCTGAATTTATTGCATGACTGAAGTAAATAAATTCAAAATATCAATTATTTGAAGCATTAGCCTCTTTTAAACTAACAAAAAAAAATATTTGTTGCTCTGTTTTAAAAAAATTCTGATTTATCAAAAAATAACTCCAAATGGCAAACTATGATCTGATTTTATAGAACTTTCATTCATCAAAATGGACTAAATTTTGTGGTTTTAGTCACATATTCACATTGAATTTTGCATCGAATGATAATCTTAAAAATCTGGCTGTACAAATCCAAATGCAACTAGTAAAAACCTTTGGCGATTTGGTTTTTTGTGATAGTGAAAACAAAATTGGTCTAGCTTTCTGAAAGTACTGGATCAACAGACATCAATTGAGAAAACCAAATGGTGCAAATATAAGCTTTAAGAAACCATAAACTATTCATCAATCTAAGATAACATACATACCCTAATACAAAAAGATATTGGACCAATGTATGAGGTTGATACTTATCTAATGCAAGTTGAAGAACATCTGGATATCTAAAAGATAAATAAATATATTTGATAAACAAGAGTTTATTCACTGTTCATAAACAATATTAATATTAGTGACCTGAGCTCATTCATGTTTGGTCAAAATCAGTCTTGAAATATAGTTCTGTGTGTCTAAGAAGAAATTGCTTTCAACTGATATGCACTACCTTGATAATTGGAATATCAGGAAACAAGCCTTCTCTTCTGGTAATAATTTATAATCTATTGTCTCTATATCATCTATTTTCATCTCTTTCTTTAAACTGAAAAAAACATAATATTATAAAGTGATATGTGAAACAATGGTGGCACTCGATTGGAGAGTTCTGAACATGTTCCGTCTGTCCCAAATCTGGCCTCAATAAAATGGTATGGAAGCAGATACGTCAAATTCAAAATTTTTCCATCTATTTCTTTCTCCACCATTTTGAATTCTTCTTCATCATATGTTCCAACATGTTTTATGAATGTTTGGTAAATTCTTTAAATCTCGAACGTTCAGAACTCACCAATCAATCAACAGGGGGAATAATCAGAACTCTCAGGGTCGCTTATTTCTCTTTCACAGAAGTGTACGTCGTATGTACATGACTGAAGATGGGAGTTTCAGCAAGCTGGTCACAGGTATACATGCACAGATTAATATGTAAGACCAGTTTACAATGTAAGACCAATTTACAATGTAAGAACAGTTTACAATGTAAGACCAGTTTACAATGTAAGAACAGTTTACAATGTAAGACCAGTTTACACTGTAAGACCAGTTTACCCTGTAAGACCAGTTTACAATGTCAGAAAAGTTTACAATGTAAGAACAGTTTACAATGTAAGAACAGTTTACAGTTTACAAATACATAAATAGTGTTTACTTTGTAAGTACTGTTTACTCTTTAAGTAGTTTTTAATTACAATTCAATAAAAAGATCAATCTGTAAGAACAGTTTACAATGTAAGTAGTGTGTACTCTGCAAGTATAGTTTACTGAGTAAGTACAATTCATGTAAAACGATTAATCTGTAAGATCAGTTTACAATGTAAGTTGTGTTTACTCTACAAGTACAGTTTACAAAGTGAGTAAATTCATGTAAAAAGATTAATCTGTAAGAACAGTTTAAAGTGAAAGTAGTGTTTACTCTACTAGTACAGTTTACAGAGTAAGTACAATTCATGTAAAAAGATTAATCTGTAAGAACAGTTTACAGTCTAAGTAGTGTTTACTCTGCAAGTTAAGTTACAATCAATGTACTTAACTCTTGTTCAATAGAAGACAGTAATTTGAAATCAAATCCATGACCAACTTAAATGTATCTCTGTTAAAATTTACCTGTATAATCTGGCATGACAATACTGTAAAAATAAGCCAGAATCTGCTTTTAAATTCACAAACTTTTCCAAATTAAAATCATAGCTTCTTCGTCTTGATGATGATAAGTATTGAACAACTACTGATGATAATGCAAGATGATCAGCAATTTTGTCAAATTCATCCATGTTGATTTTAGTAGCTGAAAAAGATGATTGTTTTTATAAAGACAATTCAAATTGACATATTATCAATATCTCTATTTCTTAGAGTTTAATTCCTCCACACAAGATAAATATTAATATACCCTATGACTGTTGACACATGTTTTGTGGTTAACTGTCATTTCCTGTCCAACTGCTTGGAACAGACATATCATGTGAATGCAATAGAGACTGAAGTTTGGATATTTTTAAGTTTGTTTCAATTGGTCATCTTTGTGTTATTGCCTTTAACTTGACTTGTCTATGACAATGCAAAAGCAGTTGTTAGATTTTGCAACTCACTTTCAGAAGATTCGATAATCTTTCGAGCTTCATTCTTGGCTGTATTCAACACCTCTTCTAAAAATACTGCGTTACCCTTTCTTGTACTGATACCAAATATTTTACCAAACATGAGGTGAAACTCGTGTTTTTGTCTACAAAAAATAAAACTACAAGTAACAAACTACAAATAACAATCTACATACAACAAACTACAAATAACAAACTACAAATAACAATCTACATATAACAAACTACAAAAAACAAAATACATATAACAAACTACAAACAACAAACTACAAATAACAATCTACATATAACAAACTACAGATAACAAACTACAAATAACAATCTACTGAATCTACAAATAACAATCTACAAATAACAAACTACAAATAACAATCTACTGAATCTACAAATAACAATATACAAATATCAAACTACAAATAACAATCTACAAATAACAATCTACTGAATCTACAAATAACAATCTACAAATAACAAACTACACACATACAAACTCTACACATGTCCATGAACCCTCTACAAATGAAAATTCCACCCTTTGAAAACACTGGACAGGTACACACATAAAAACTCTATGCTGTGCTGTTTTTAATATGCATGTTAACTTACATGTTCTGCAAAATATCTGGATATAACATATTTAAACTTATGTAAAGATTTCTAAAATGTGCTGCTTGATCTTCACTAACCTAAAATAAACAAGAAAAATATCAAAACCTTGTTTAGTTTTACTTTATATTTGACTGACAACAACTGACAGTTGACAGTAATAAACTCTCAATTACATAAATTAACAACAGTACAATTCTTCCACCATCAAAACTATTTTGACAAAAGACAAAGGATGGTATTTCATGTTCACTATACACGACTAGTGGTATTGTTGATACCAACCTAAAATCTCAGCCTTTTTCTGTTTGAAATCACAATTCAATCACCACATAGGGTGTATAAAAACTGATTAGCTTACCACATAATGAATTTTATCAAAATTATATTTTTCATATCTATCTACAGCTGCTACTATGTCTCTGAAATATTATAAAACAATTCATTAATGTTTGAAATATCTGAATGTACACATCAAATCTATTTATCTAAATATATATATCCAGTCCAATCATTTCAATCAGTCCATGTCTTCTGCTTGTGCCGTGTGAAGATATTCAGTATTATTCAGAAATGAATGGAGTTTTACATCCTACTTTTCTGCACCTAATGGGCTAATGAAGATAGGCAACGCAGTGTGTAATGAGGGAAAATTTTACAGGAAAGTGGTTTAGCTTACTCTTTCTAGATTTCCAACTGTAGAGGGGCCTCTAACATGCACAGCACATGGGGCTTCAGTTTATTGTCCAGAATTCAATATGCTTTTTCCATGTCAGCCCCTCTGACCTGCATCAATGACTATGGGAAGCCAAGTTGAAAAATCTGGGATTATCTGGATCTATGCTGGTATTTAATACATCTACTTGTAGTGTACACCCTCACTTAGTACATCAAGTTGATTGACATATGAACCCCACCTCTGCCAGTGACAACAGAAACATACCTTGTTAAATATAAGGATGAACCGTCACTCTTCTTAATATATATTGTATATTCCTTATCACCTTTTTGAGACACAAGAGCACCCATACCGTTCCTATAAACAATCAAATTATTAGTTTATGATTCTAAAAAATCTAAAAAAAATTGTTTTTGGACATAAAGATTCATAGTGGTGATAGCAACTAGAAAACAGAATCTTATTTTACTGGTTAGTGGAGCAGGTTGTTTTGTGAGCAAGCTTCTAGAATGAACTTATCAATTCAAATGCTGTTATTACCTTTCCTTTAGCTTGCCTTGTTCATTGAGGTCTTTTACTAACTGTCGAGCTCTCTCTCTATACATAGACTCAGTATGTGTTTCATCAAATTCAATTCCTAATCTCTACAAATATAAAATAATATTCTGAAGATTCTTGTATATAAATGATAAACCAAGTTTACGTTAATAGTTTTCCTATGATTTATTAATGATGTAAAAGTGTTTTTATATTAAAATATAAAATTTTAGATTTTAAAAAGATAAAAGCACTTTTATTTGAAATTCAATTCCAGTGTAAATTCATTTGTGTAAGCCGAATACAACCAAATACACAGCCATCTCTTCTCACCTTTCAACAATAAACTCATCACATCATAAAGCATTCAAAGGACTTAACTTATGCAGGCATATATAGAACACTGGGCCAACTCTCGATAGTACTGGCCATGGCATCAGAATTTTTTAAGGTGTACATACCTTGTACATTTTATCATATTCTGATCGAGATATATCACACAATCTCTTCCATAATGTTTCAAATTCTTCTACTCTTTCTCCTACAAATGTAAAGTTTTCAGTCACAAGTTAAGTTTATGTCCAGTCCCTATTTAATAATATGAACATATGCTACATTGAAAACCTTGTTTTATCAAACGGAGTAATTTTTTGAAAATAGAAAACTACTCCATTGTTAAATTTAGAAGAGTTGCAAAAGCTAGAATCTAATTCAAAATCTCCTAAAACTATTTAACTATTAATAACATTAAGATAAAAAAAACTGGACATTTTTCATTCTTATATCAAGGATGTATGCCTTAGGGTTTTTGGACTAGAGTTGTTTTATCACGAAAATTCTCAAAAAAAAAATTTCATTTGAACATCTGTATCTTATGATGTATAAGACATACAATAATAATTTACCACTATCAATTCTTTGATAAAGTTCTTTAGTTTCTGTATATGTAGGAGTTAATCTGCCATCATCTCCACCTGCTTCCTCATCTATTTTATTGTGAATTTCAACGTACACCTGAAATTTTCGAAAATGTGGTTAAAAATATCACTTTTTTACAAATCTGGTTAAAAATCTAAAGTTTTCAAAGTGTGGTTAAAAATATAAATTTGTTTTCAAATGTGGTTAAAAATTTCACGTTTTCAAAATGTGGCTAAAAATATCAAATTTTTACAAATCTGGCTAGAATCTAAAGTTTTCCAATTTGGTTAAAAATGTCAAATTGAAACAAATCTAGTTAAAAATTTAAAGTTTTCAAAATGTGGTTAAAAATATAAATTTTTTACAAATCTGGTTTAAAATCAATACTGTGTTTAGAGATATAGACATCATATTATTGGCTTCTTCAGATCAAGTTTCTTTCAGAGGAATACAACTTCTTAGAATAAACATACAATTTAAATTCTCAAACTCAATAAGAGTATATATTATCTATCAGTAGATTAATTGGTGCCATATCAATATCTCTGTATAATTCAATAAATTCAAAAAACTAAATAATTATTGAAAAATGATTAAAACCTACTTACAACTTTAGAAATATTTTTAATTATTACTTAATTAATTTTATGAGATTATCGAATTCAAGGGATTCTGTTGTATATTTATGACACCAGGTATGTCCACTGATGAATATTTCCTCTTTGGTTCAAGTTTGAGAATTATATTCATTTTAAGAGTATTCATGTTTTCATGCTACACATGAATACATTAAATGAAAGAATGACAAAAATGTGCAGTAACTTTAACATTTATTTTTATTTTCAAAATCCATAAAATATGTACCTCATATAAATGCTTTAATGGATCTGCTTGTAATTTTTCTTCACTACCATATCTTTGAAATGCCACACACAACAAAACTATATCAAATATAACGGTATTGAATATATAATTCAGCTTTCCATCATTAATGTCCCTTAGCACACTTCTTTAAACAAACGAACCTGTCTTGAAATGTAGACATGAGAAAAAGTTCTACTTGTCCAACTTCAGTAGAGACGCAGGCTGAAAATAAGCCAGTTGTCTAAAGATCACATAGCGTGAAACTCTGAGTAACAACATGATTCAATTTCTGTTTTAATATTTCTATATCACTTTACAATTGATGTATTGAGCACTACTTTAACAGTGAAAATATTTGTAAGTTGGCATATGTCACACAATAAATTTTAAAGAATATTCAATGAAAGTGACTTCTGTCAGTAACGAAGGGTGTAAAAAAAATTTAAAAGAATCACAAACAGAGGTTTGTTCAGTGATATATGGTATAACAATGCAATGAAATTTGACCTATGCTCTTACAGGGCTAAAATGAAATGCTATGCAGTGTGGAATGAGAAAATTCTGACAAGGACAGTACCACAGGCTGCAATGTTTTCCATTACCATTTGTTAACAACACTATACATAGAAATAATAGACTGATGCTTCCCTTTCAACCAGCTAATAGTAAAAAATACGAACCAACTTGTAAACCATGATCTCCTAGATAATTCAGTCGAACAACATCATGGTTAAATGTTTTATAAAGGTTAGACAAACAATTGCCTAATACTGTAGAGTGTAGATGACCAACGTGGAAAGGTTTGGCTATGTTTGGTGAACTGTAATGGAAAGATAGCCTGCCAACCAAAGCAAGATAACCGAATGCCCAAAGCAGTACCAAAACCATAGTTTCAATCCTTTTTACTTTAAATTTGAAAAGGACCACTTCTTGTTGCTATGCTGCATATGCATCAGAGATTAACAAACATCAGAAAACTCTCGCTGATGGGTAGTCAGTTACAAAACAGATGGGGGGACTACTGTCAAGGTTTAATTGAAAATGTAGCAGATCCATGGATGCTTCATGGACACATGCCTCTCATGAAATGCCTGAAGGGTTCTACCGCCAACAAAAATTATTTCATTCTGACACATAATTTTGGGCAAAATCGTATAAAATTCAAATCTTTGAATTTGTAAGAAGGCAGGGTGCAAACCATTTTTCTAGACTCCCCCGCCACTCTCAACACCCCCCCCCTCCTCTCTTGTAGACCAACTTGTGTGGCCACTGTATGGCTTTATAACAAATTGTGTCATCTTTTGTGGGAATATAAACAGAAGAGAGGCAAACATTTAAACTAACCTAAACTCAACCACAATTTTTTTCTTCTCAATATCTAAGTCACCTTTGTTGTAAATTGGTCCATTTTTGACAATTGATTCTAAAATTGACTGTAATCAAAAGAACACAATTACTATTTTATGCAGGTTATTTTTCTTGTCATTTCTTCCAAAGTCTTTCAGGGAGAAATATTTTTCTAAATTTCTGGCTGAACTTAAACTGTTATAGTGCGTTCATACCACTAAATTTAGTGCAGCTTAACTATCAACCCTTCTTCGAGTCTGATTTACTGTTTTTGGGTGATCGTTCAGATAGACTAAAAAGTTAAGACAGCTTTGACAGTACCTTTGTAATCATAGGTCATAATACTGTTTTCAATGCGCATTTTGACACGCGTTCACGAGGGCTCTCTTTAGACCCTAACTAAAGTGGCTATATTAGAAAGTTTGGTCTAATTTCAATTCTACTGTTTCTATATATTTCAACTTTGAAAAGTATTGAAACACAATCTTATTTATCGTTTTCACTCTGGACAATTCATACACTTACCTTATTAAATTTATCTTTGTTTACAGAAATAATACCATTAGAGAATTTATCGAAGTCTACATTCTCTATAACATCATCCTATAAAATAAGTTTCAAGCTTTTTTATCATCTGATTACTCTACAGCTCCAGAATTATGTCTTTCTTATCTAAAGTTTAATTATTCAATCTCATGTTGTGCAATACTGACATCATAACCTGGTCAAGCTAGTCCAGAATAAGGAACTTAAAAAGTTTATGTAATTCTTCAGTAGTTTTAGCATTAAAATATTAACGGAAGGATTTTTTTAGTTAAAATAAGATAAGGCAAGGGACACATATCACTTCATTTTGTTCTACAGTTTTTAGTGATTTGAGCATCTAGTACTGTTTCAACTAAAAAAAAACCAGACTGCTCCTATAAACTTGAAGTTTCATTCCAGGTAAAAAAGTAGTACTGGTATATATTTCCCTTACTTCAGGTAAATTTTTCAATAACTGGTTGTCAATTATATCTGGCTTGAGAATAAACATTGGCTGAGTGGTACTAAATAAATAGAAAATGACAACTCATTATGGTAAGTTCAGTTCTTCTGTTTTCTTCAGATAAATTCTTAGTGCAGAAAATGATAATCAAGAATAGTATTTACAGACACTGTCAACCAGTCTTCGGGTTTACTGTTTATTCATCCAGTTGTTGGTTCTGCAAAGTGAAAAAATAAGAAGCCATCCTATTCCCTCCTAACAACAATGAGTTTAACAGGCTGGCTGTGGCTGTTGAACAGGATGACTGGAATGTCAATGAAATTTTCAACAAAACAACACGAAGTGCTGCTGTAAGTTGTTTTGGTTTGCTAGCTCCTATCACCAACCAGTAATAACACTGGGTTTGCTCTCCATCAATTTCTGATTGTATGAGGCCTATTTTAAATTACCGATACCTTTTATGTGGTCTACAGTTATTATATAAATGTTTCTCCAAATTATTATCTTTTCCAAGTGATCTTACCAGCTGAAATAACAAAATAAATATTTGCCCTATTTATGTGGCACTTTCCAGACCAAGTATGGCACTGTAAAAACTATTTACATACGATTTACATACTAGCTTAAATTGTAGGCTTAAATACTCCTCTGCCTATGCTTCTACTTCTTCCAGTATCAGTAAGAAAGGTGTTCATTGAACAAGAAAGAGTGAAGACAGAAGGATATGTGCTCACATAGCTTAATTACCCGATTTACAAGGATTTTTCTTATACAGGTAGCCATATCTGCTGTTATTACTGACAATTTATTGATTTCTATGATCAACTTGTAGGTATGTAATTATTGTGATCACATTGACCGACTGGGGGCTGACATTTTGTATGGGAGTTAACTCTAGAAAATGATCAAAAGACACAGACCACAATGGTGCTAATCAAGTCATAGTCCTGCAAGATGTTACAAAAAATAATATGAATGGAGTTTTACGTCATACTTTTCTGCAACTTATGGGTTAACGAAGACGGGAAACGCCATGCAGTGTGCGATGAAGTAATTTTTTTTAATAAACTTCTCTTTTTCGTGGTCAGATTAGAATATCTTTTTTACTGTCAATTCACAAGTTTACAAAGTAAAATTAGTAAAGCTGCTATTCTGTAATTATTGTGCTGTTCTGTAATCATTGTGCTGTTCTGTAATTATTGTGCTGCTCTGTAATTATTGTGCTGTTCTGTAATTATTGTGCTGTTCTGTAATTATTGTGGAACAATAGGCCTTGATCCACTTTGATTTCCAAAATTTATTTCACAGCATTTAAAACAATTTGTCAAACTTTGATCATGTCATCCTTTTGGAATGTTCATACAGAAATATTTCTCATCACTACCACACATTATACATATAAAATGAAGTGGTGTTTTCCTCAAAATAAATGTCATTCATCATCAAATAGTCTAACAGTTTGGGTTGACTGAATGTAGCCTACATCAGCATCCCCCAATTTCCTCAGGCCTACATCAAAATTCAATTATGCAAAATAAGCCAGTTTTACATGTGAAATTATGTAGGTCTACATTAATTCATATGGTCTATGGTGTAAGTGTAATTATAATTATCCTTTGCATTATTCCCTGAGGAGAGTCAGATTATGGAGTGGACAAGTTTTGTAGCCTGGCAAGTCTCTGACGCTAAGAAATTACCTGGCCAATCTTATCAACTTAATGCTGCTAGATAATGTTCATCTCATATACAATAACTAACATTGGCGAAGGTTGAGTCGAATGGTGCGTGGCAGAGATACAGAATGGTATATTGACAGCACCATCGTAAGGGTGGGGTCTGTGGGGGCTGGGCCCCAGCAAGTGAGAATTAAGGCCCAGCTAAATCTTCTTCAGTTCAGAGATTTACAGAGTTTTTGTACAAAACCAAATGATATAGATTTCAATACGTTTTTGGCACCTCAAAATTGTCATAAATGAATTCTCTGGGCCTTTAATTCTTCAAATTTACAAACTCTGAGCCCCAGCACCAAATCATTCCTGGCAACGGGGCTGCATATTTCAATTGAGATATCATAAGAGTGAACATTCCTGCCTCATTAGCATTAGAAAATCCACCACAATAGCCACGGTAGTCATAGTGGAGCTCAAATTCCACAAATATTTTTAGACCGAATAATAAATGAAAACAACCAATATTAGCATCACATAAAGCTTTATTTCTGGAAGCGCAATATTGTCATTACTGTAGCATAATAATAATAATAATAATAATAATAATAATTAGAAGTAAAGATAAGAGATATAATATATAAGATAGAATCAACATTGTAGTAAATTTCGCCTAAAGCACTTAAACAATGACAGTAACATATAATGTTGCACATTAATAATGAAAGAAAAAACATTTCTAGATAGCATTAAATTGTACTAGAAAAAGCTATTAGCCTTAGAGACAAGATTTTTAAACTTATACATTATAATTCGCTTGGCGTGTATGTATAACATATCAACATTCGCAAAAAACAAGACAAAGCTTATTGTTTTGAATATCTTTAGAAGAGACAAGCTAGGTGATAAAAATTACATTTGGAAATAAACTAGTAGGGTTAATATTTGGACTGAATTAAAATATTCTAATATTACATAAATATCATTGCAGGTGTAAAAATGTAAATTTTGAGCTAGATATCAAAATGAAAATGACCTGCAGACAGAGTAACAATACCCAAGACTATCATAAGTATTTTCTAGTAATTTGTCTCAACCATTTTTAAAAATATCTTTAAAAAACAATTTGAATATTTAAAAACAGAAACAAACTGATGTATTAATCTCTTGACTCCTATAATATCACACAATTTTATTCAAGGCATGCATATTTAGGTAATTTAAAGGAATCTGATTGGATGGCATTCTCACCTTAGACTAACCAATCAAAGTTCTAATCGATATTAAAGATAAGACAATTATTCAGATGTTTGCAACAACAGACCTTGGATTTGTTTCTCTAATACATGTACATTGCTTTTGGAACAAAACATCACCAATTCGACAAAGGTAAAATAGTAACAGTAAAAGTCTGTGTCCAGGATAGAACTATATCAATAGTTCACATTTCAGAAAAACTACTGAGGACAAATATAATTATGCCCATTCAGAGAGGTTTACGATGCAAGTCCAATGTGATTTGACTCCAGATCAACTGTTCATGGATACATTTGAAAATATCCCTGGATGTGCATAAATACCTTTCCCTGACAATATACTTTGTTTCCTATCTAAGAATAAAGGAAGATTTTATACAAATCTAGACCTCACTCAATCAGCCTGACTCAAAATAAGGTTAATGTGAATCAAATCGCAAAAGCAATTGCCCAGAGAAATCAAGTGAATATACAACTGGATTAATTTTGACTAATACTTTCGCCATTAGTCCTATAGACACAGACACAACCCATAACAATATTAGTATACAAGTATATCTATATAGATAGAGCAATGATTTAGAGTGTGGTATTAAGTTATAGATGCACAGATATAAAGCTTTTGTGTATTTTATATAATAAACAGATAATTGTGTATTTGATACTAGTAACAGTAATGAGTCAGTGATTTGAACCAGTTTGGGTTAAATTTAACTGTGTTAATTTCTTGGTTAAGTGTTAGTAAAAAAATAAATCTTGATATTTTTCGACATTGGTTATTTCCTTCACAAACATCCTTACAAAGCTTAAATTAAACTATCTGTAGTACTTATCAGAATTGAAATCTGATGTCCACTTTACTAACAATTATTTACAATATCATGGTCAGTTAGGACTTTTCATGTCAGGTTACTGCCTGTGAGATTTTTTCGTAATGTCCAGGAAGTGATAACAGTCTAAACAGTCTTTAGTTTAAATAACAAACAGCGGAACCAGGCATCAATTTTAAAAAGTGATACAGGTAACTTAAATTGAAAACTGGTAAAGCAAGTATTTAAATAAATAATAAAACAATTTTTATTCTGGTCATTCCTAACTCATTACTGTACCATGTGAACGGACGGGCAAACCACAGACACCACTCTTTAAGTATTAATCAAGCTTAATAATAAGATTAATTAATAATCCCTCAAATAATACAAAAATAAAGACAACTATATCATTTACAAAAAACATCACGAATACAAAGCAATTTTATGTCAAAAATCACAATTTTTATTTTGACAATTAAAATTTGGCCCCATCTTTAACTTCATACGCTGGTGGTATCATTTGTTTAAAACAAACATATTTTTGTAAATATTAAAACAAAAACAATACAAAAACAAATAATAAGAAAAAAAGAATTAAATCAAAAACAATACTAAGAATAATACAAAAGAATATCATGCTTTTAAAAAGCGACATGGAAAGCACATTATATGTCTACTTAAAGCCTAACTAAGTTATATAATATTTAATCTACATATAGAAATAATAATATACATTGAATAAAATAAACTTCTTTGGTCTGTCATGTTTTGTGACATGTGTCGTTTGGTTTTGGTTAATATGATTTGGTTTGCATGATAATAAAAATTTGTACAAGAGTTTTAACATGATATCTTATTCCACTGTTACTTCAACTAGTCAATTTTAATATCTAGGTAAAGGGCATCACTTCTCAGGTTGAAAAATTCTACAAATAGATTTTTTTAAATTTAAAAGGTTAATGTCTGTATCCAGGTTAAATAATACTTGCTGTTAAGTTTTAAACAGACATTATGTTAATCAAAAACTAAGGTCGGATTTAAATTCACCAAGGTAAGATGGCTAACTAAAGGGAACTTTATCTGCTGCTAAAGCAACCATTTTGAGGCCAATTTTCAATGGGAAAAAGAAACATTTTAATATTGCAGCTTTTAAATATTTAAGAAATATCAACTTTAACTTTGACTTATCAATATAAGGCAATCTATCTTTAATATTAGTCCTAACACTCAGTTATTTACACTTTATTGTTAAATGCCTGGGGGCAGACAGAGAGAACAATTTAAAAATTAATTTTAAGTTAAGTTACAGATTTACATATCATACAAAAAACTTAAGTCTGAATAACATGAACTTTTATGTTGACTATAGTACCACTATAAGACAATTTTATGGAATCTACCATGTTCCTTTAGCAACGGTCCAATGATTAACATGAAGTGTAGTGATTGCAGATATTGGTGTCAATTTCAAGATTTGATGGCTCTCTAAGTACCTTACATGTGCAAAATCTCCAATATCATGATGGCAATATTTCTTTGATAATATATAGTTTTCCACTACCCTGTTTCATTTCGATTCAATCTGAAGCTTAAACTTATGTCAAAGTAAAAATTGGAAAATTTTGATTTGTGGTAATTTGCATCAAGAGGAGGCAACTCATAGAATATTGCTGTATTCGAACATTTTCATCAAGAAATAATATCATTTAAATAGTGATCATTGAGAATTAACATATCAAATTTAACTTTATCTTAACTTATCATATATTTTTACTTTGTGACCTAGGCCAGTGCTTTTATGATCATTATGTTCTCATCACCATCTAACAGAACAAAAATATATCAAGATTTTAATCAATTATTTTAATTTTATTTTATTAAAATATAGAGGTATATATCAATTAGCTCTAGACTCTCATGTTTCCAAAACATATCTTCTCATTGTTAATTCTACATATTTGCATATATATGAAAATTTGTTTTTTTATTTTTAAATATAATCGGATGTCAAATTAAAGAAACTAGTCAGACAAATTTATTATTTAGTA